CCAGCCAGCATATTTCCAGATGGGTGGACTTCAATTCCCAGAATTCCTCAGCCAGCATGCTTCCAGATGGGTGGACTTCAATTCCCAGAATTCCCCAGCCAGCATACTTCCAGATGGATGGACTTCAATTCCCAGAATTCCCCAGCCAGCATGCTTCCAGATGGATGGACTTCAATTCCCAGAATTCCCCAGCCAGCATGCTTCCAGATGGATGGACTTCAATTCCCAGAATTCCCCAGCCAGCATGATTCCAAATGGATGGACTCAAACTCCCAGAATCCCCACGCCCTGATCCCCCCCTCCCCTCTACACTGGCCAATCCCCCGGAGCGGAGGGGGCTTCCCAGGCAGGACCCCCAGCCTGGAAAGGACCCGGGGTGGTGGTGAAGAAGAGGCATCCCACCGCACCGCACCTGCGCCCGGCATCCCCGGCTGGGCTCTCTCAGCGGCCAGGCCTGGTGGGGACTTGGCGTCCTTGCAGGCGCGGCCAATGAACGGCGGAGGTGGAGCTTGGCGGCGATCGCCCCGGAGCGGGATCTTCTTCCAGCCGGGCCGGGCGGCGGCGGAGGAGGAGGAGGAAATCCCGTTGTATCCCTGCCTCTCTGCGGGGTCTCCGGACGGGACGATGAGCCCGGCGTTGCAAAGCCTCCTCCCCGGGCGAGCCGGGCGCTGGAGCCGGACGAGCGCCGCCAAGAGAGCGGCCGCTTTGGTGGCCGCGGCTTACGGGCTGAAGATCCTCTGGCCGCTGCTTTGCAAGCGGCTGCGGCGGCAGCAGCGGAGCGGCCAAGATGCTGCCAAGCGAGAGGAGAAGGAAGCGATGGGGTCGTTGCACCGGCCCGATCCGGCTGCCAGCAAAGCCTCTCCGGCCGCCAATGCGGAATTCCTCCGGCAACTCCTGGCGCTGCGCAAGATCTTCTTCCCGCGGCTGGTCAGCCCCGAGAGCGGCTGGCTTTGCCTGCACTCCGTGGCGCTGGTGTCGCGGACCTTCCTCTCCATCTACGTGGCCGGGCTGGACGGGCAGATCGTGAAGAGCATCGTGGAGAAGCGTCCGCGGAGCTTCGCTTGCAAGTTGCTCAAGTGGCTGCTGGTGGCCATCCCGGCTACCTTCGTCAACAGCGCCATCCGCTACCTGGAGTGCAAGCTGGCCCTGGCTTGCCGCACCCGCCTGGTGGATCACGCCTACCTGACCTACTTCGACCACCAGACCTACTACAAGGTGACCAACATGGACGGCAGGCTGGCCAACCCCGACCAGTCGCTGACCGAGGACATCATGATGTTCTCCCAGTCGGTGGCTCACCTTTACTCCAACCTGACCAAGCCCATTTTGGATGTGGGGCTCACCTCCTACACGCTCATCCGGACGGCCCAAGCCAGGGGGGCCAGCCCCGTGGGACCCACGCTGCTGGCCGGCCTGGTGGTCTACACCACGGCCAAAGTGCTGAGAGCCTGCTCCCCCAAGTTTGGCAAGCTGGTGGCCGAGGAGGCCCACCGGAAGGGTTACCTGCGCTACCTCCACTCGCGGATCATTGCCAACGGGGAAGAGATCGCCTTCTATAGAGGCCACAAGGTAAGAGGACCGGAGACGGGATGGACGAGAGGGGCCTAAGGCGGCTTTGTTGTTGCTGTTGCTGTAGTTCTTGGTAGGTTTTTCTCCAGGAACATCTGGAGCAATAGCAGTAGACTTATAGCAGTAGACTTATATACCGCTTCATAGGGCTTTCAGCCCTCTCTAAGCGGTTTACAGAGAGTCAGCATATTGCC